GGTGATGGGAATTTTAAACTATACAGCCACTCTGGAAAAGTCTAACACTTTCTTATAAACTTAAATATACAATAACGATATGACCCAGTAATTCTATTCCTAAGTATTACCCAAAAGAAAACAGGAAAACATATGTCCATGAAAAATCTGTACAAGCATGGTCATGGCAGCTATATTCATACAGCCCCAAATTGGAAAAAACACAAATGTTTCTCTAATAAGAGATGAATGGATAAACTCGAAAGGAATGAACTGCTAATATACACAACAAACATGGATTAATTTCAGAAACATTATGCTGAGCCAGAAGAACATATGCTCCATGATTTTATTTATATGAAATTCTAGACAGGCAACACTTAACGCACTATAGATGTACTTCTTAACCTGGGAAATTTTGCCCTCCCCTTCCGTGGAGCATGCTGGAGACATTTTTGGTTGTCTTTACTTGGGTGATGGGGTGTGGGTGCTTACTACTGGCATCTAATAGATGGAAAGGCCAAGCATTCTGTTGAACATTCTAGAATGCAAAGGACACAGCTACAACAAATAATCATCAAACCCCATATTTTCATAGTGCCCAAACCCAGACTGCAAAATCATGTTTAATAGTGATCAGTCATAAAACTCATAGGAAAAAACATAGGCAAAAATCTCTTAGACATTAATATGAACAACTTCTTCATGAACATATATCCCTGGGCAAGGGAAATAAAAGCAAAAATAAGCAAGTGGAACTATATCAAGCTGAAAAGCTTCTGTACAGCAAAGGACACCATCAACAGAACAAAAAGGCATCCTACAGTACAGGAGAATATATTCATAAATGACAGATCCGATAAAGGGTTGACATCAAAATATATAAAGAACTCATGTACCTCAATAAGAAAAAAGCAAATAATCCAATTTAAAAATGGGCAGAGGTTCTGAACAGACACTTCTCCAAAGAAGAAATTCAAATGCCCAACAGGCACATTAAAAGATGCTCCACATCGCTAATAATCAGAGAAATGCAAATTAAAAACCACAATGAGATATCACCTCACACCAGTAAGGATCGCCACCATCCAAAAGACAAACAACAAATGTTGGCAAGGTTGTAGAGAAAGGGGAACCCTTCTACACTGCTGGTGGGAATGTAAATTAGTTCAGCCATTGTGGAAAGCAGTATGGAGGTTCCTCAAAAAACTCAAAATAGAAATACCATTTGACCCAGGAATTCCACTTCTAGGAATTTACCCTAAGAATGCAGCAGCCCAGTTTGAAAAAGACAGATGCACCCCTATGTTTATCGCAGCACTATTTATAATAGCCAAGAAATGGAAGCAACGTAAGTGTCCATCAGTATATGAATGGATAAATAAGAGGTGGTACATATACACAATGGAATATTATTCAGCCATAAGAAGAAAACAAATCCTACCATTTGCAACAACATGGATGGAGCTAGAGGGTATTATGCTCATTGAAATAAGCCAGGCATCAGAAAGACAAATACCAAATGATTTCACTCATCTGTGGAGCCTAAGAACAAAGAAAAAAACTGAAGGAACAGAACAGCAGCAGACTCACAGAATCCAAGAATGGACTAACAGTTACCAAAGGGAGAGGAACTGGGGAGGGTGGGTGGGAAGGGAGGCTAAGGGGAAAAAAAGGGGCATTACTATTAGCAGACATAATGTAGGGCAGGGCACAGGGAGGGCTGTACGACACAGAGAAGATAAGTAGTGATTCTACAGCATCTTACTATGCTGATGGCCAGTGACTGTAATGGGGTATGTAGTGGGGGACTTGATGATGGGGCAAGTCTAGTAAACATAATGTTCCTCATGTATGTAGATTAATGATACCCAAAATTAAAATTTTTAAAAAGTGATCACTGCAGATTCAAAGGTGGGACTGTGGATACTGAATGAAAAGGAAAATGAAGGAATTCTGGAGAAAATAAAAATGTTCTGTATTTTAACATAAATAGTGACTAATTAGTTTTTCAAAACTGATCAAACTTATGGGTGCATTTTATTGTATGCAATTTCATGTCAGTTGACGGTAAAAATTACAGTGCCTGTCAAATGATGTAAAACTGACAAACAATTTAATCCAATTTTTGCTTTTCAAAATATATGCATAGAACAGACAGGAAAGGCAAATACCATTGGTGTGATTATAATTTCGATTTTTAACTCCACTGCTTATTTGTTTTACAGTAACTTGAAAATAGTGTGTGAATATATTTCCAGTATCTAGAACAAATCCAAATAAATGAAAATAATAGGAAAGCACATGAACATTTGATTATAGTTAAATTATGATTTGATCACAAGACTTATTTCACTAAACTATAAAAATGTACAATGCAAAGGCATTTAGATGTCAATTTTTAATCTAAAACACTGCTAAAACATTTAAAGTCTGAATTATACATATAAACATTTCTGTACAAAAAGGTTTTAAGAGGAATTTTCACTATAAACTGCGATATCAAGCCATAATAGGTAGGCTGAAAAGGTTAAGTTACGAAGAATATGTTATATTAACTTTACACTATATATATGTATATAAAATATAAGGAATATATATTATATAAGGAATATATAATGTTAATTAATATAACTTTATTATACATAAGGAATCATATTAATACAGTAGAAAAAAAGCAGATGCCATTCAGTTATGTTAAACATTAGTCCAGGGACTGTATAAAGTGTGAGGAATATAAAGATGTCCCTCAAGAACTGACTAACAGAGAAATTGTCAACAAATGAAATAAAGTAGTTGAAGGCTATGGATGAGGTTTGAAAGTAGCATCATCAAAGAACCGAGCAACTAACTCAGCCAGGAGAGTGTAGGAAGCATTTACAAAGGTGACAGGTAGGCTGGCCAGCAATGAGAAAATCTCATCCTGAAAAGGAAGTTTATCCTATACACTGAGTAAGAAAACTACATCTGCTGAGAACATTCCATAGGCAAGAGGGAAAGCTTCTTAGGATTCACCTTGATAGAAAAAGCACACTCTGTACGTTCAGTGTATTTAAGTTTGGCAATATAAGTCTCTGGTAGCATTCAAAAACATAGAGACAAAACATAATCAATTAGACTCTAACTTTAAAACTGCATATTTAACATTTGTTAGTAAATTCAAGGGGGCCTCATATGACACACTAAAACATTTCATACTATTAGGAAGGGAATATTGAAGATGCCTTCCAAAAGGGAGTGTAAAGGGAACCCTGTACACACCCTTGAGAGTACGTTTTAGAACCATAAGAAATGCTTATAAATATAGGATGAATGGGGTAAACAGTATAAACAGTACTCTATACTGTTAGGAATGATTCTAACAAGGGAAAAAAGTAAATTGCTAGCTTATGCAGATTAAAAAAGCCTGCAAAGTGGTGGTATCTGGAGATAGCCTGCAGGCAAAACTTGTCTGCCCTGCTCCTTAGATTTTGTAATCTTGGAAACAACTCAAATTAAGCAATCGAAATTGAACTGGCTTTTACTTAAACAGAACACACTTTACGCAGCAGAAAATCCAGTTATTGAGAAAGTCATCATCCCAAAGTGTCTTTAATGGATTTGACTTCGCAGAGAGTGTATTTCCTATTCTTTTCTGTCTCTGACTTCGAGTCAACGAATTACTGAGAGCAATTTTAAAAACACTATTTTCTGGTAGTGATGATTAAGGAGATTGGAGAAAAAGGAAAAATGATTAAAGCGATAAACTCGTTAGCAAAGGCGCCGACTGGAGTCCCCTAATAGCCAGTGAACTATAAATAGGGTATTTCATAGATACTGACGCCAACAGGAGGTGCAGGGTCAAGTTCAAGTCCAGCCAAGGGTTGGCCGCAGGCAGAGAGAACAGTCACTGCCAGATCCTCTGCTGGCATCGTAGAAGACCCCCAACCCCTCCAAACTCCCTCCAAAAGGTCCCCAATACCACTAGTACGCGCCCAGAAACAGCTCTTCCCCGACGATCCCAGCGACCCTGCCAGCGACAGGCTGTATTCACTTACTGAGCTGCCCTCCTCCAGACGTCGTGCTCGGCTCCCGACCTCCTGCGCCTCCAACGCCGGCTGCTCCAGGGATCCCTGGCGCCCCCAGCCCCGGCGGGGTCCCGCTCTGCCTCTCGAAGTTGCCGGGATTGGAGAAGTAGTCGCGCAGCCGAGGCAGCTCGCGGCCGCTCTCCAGCAGCTCGGTGTGCAGCTCCAAGGCAGTCAGCAAATACTGATCGCGCAACAGCTGAGCCGCGATCGCATCAATGGATAAGCGGGCCGGGGCCTCCCCGCTGCCCCCCAGGGCCCCCGCCGAGGCCTCCCCTAGGAGCCCTGGCCGCGCACTGCTCCCTAAGGCCACGGGATCCTGGGGCGACAGCGAGTCCGCAGAGCCAGGATCTAGACAGCCCCCGGAGCCCAGCCGAAGTCCTGCTCGCCGTTCCTCGGTCGCCGCTACCTCGTCGTCGTCCTCGTCCGAATCGCTGAGGAATGGATTAACGCCGCCGCCACCACTGCCACTACCTCCAGGCGCCATCGCCGCCATCTTAACCTGTCAGGAGTGTGGGCGCCTCCCTTACTGGCTCCGAGAGGCCACAGTCTCAATCCCCCCTCGATCCCCAGAGGGCAGTGCGGACCTCCACAGCCCCGGTCTGGCCACGTCCCACCTCCCCACCTGGAGACCCGGCGTAGGCTGGGAGGACGAACGTCGGGATGCAGCAGCACCGCTGCCTCAGCCGCTGCTGCACCAGCTGCCGGGCTCTGCAGGCGTCTTCCTGGTCTCCAGTCTCGCGAGAAGTGGTGGGTGTCCTGCCTCTCTCAGCGCTCCAGCCCCGCCCAGGCCCGTCCGTTCTGAACTACGGCGAGCAAAGATTGAAGGCCCCGCTCCCCGTTTAAACGCAAAACCCCGCCCCCACTTCTGTTTGATTGGCCGGAGGAGGAGGAGGGCTGGAGTTACTGAGGACGGGTCCTGGAATTATCGCGAGATCAGTCGCTGGCCAGGTAGGTTTCGGGGGCGTTCCGCGGTTGAGGGGCGGCTATGACCGTGGCTTAGGAGCGTTCTCTGGGCTCTCCTTTCAAGAGGCGGAAGGGAACTCTGTCCGAGAACAAGGTCTTCCTTTCACGCTGAGGAGGCCTCATTCCAGGGATCCGGCCTGACTCGGATAAGCCCCAGGTAAAGGCCGGGGACCAGTGCGCACAGGTACCGCGGCACCCACACTGGCCTCACGCTCGCGGACGCCCTCCTTCCCGAGCACGCTTCACTTGTTCCTGCTGCTTGCTGCCTGCTGGTGACGTTTTCTCCGCACGTGGAGCAGGTGCCCAGAGCAGTGGTCAGAATTCCTTTCTCTCCTTCCCCTTCCAGCCAAGTGCCTGCTTCGTCCTGGAAACAGCACTGACATCGCACTCCTGGCAGCGTGCCTTCACCTCACTGAGTCAGTGCCACGAAAGGGCGGGATGGCGTGGGGTGTGGGAGGTGGGGAGAGTAAATGGAAAATGTTTGGATTTGCTGGGATCCGTGAATACCCTGAGAGCCTCTACTTGGGTAACAAACTGGGGCTCAGTAAGCACTTAAGATTTCACACACAATTTGCACAATAGGGACCCTTCAAAATAGCAAATGCAGTCCCATCAGTAGGGAGATAAGTAAACAAAGTCTAGAAACGTTCAGTGACTTGGTCAAGTCAGCCCCACTAAGAAGAATTCAAAGGAACTAAAATCAAATTCTCTTATGTGCAAAGCCATTCTTCTCCCACAATACCTCACAACCTTTCCTACTTGTCCATTTAGGCTGGAATCAAGATACTGACCGTGAAACTTAATTATTTTAAAACCTGGATGCTTTAGACAGTTTTGAATTCCTTTATCAAACGTTAGCACATGAAGTAAGTATGCTAAGTTTGAAAGTTCAACGTTTATCTTTTATGCCATTCCTTGATTACAGTCTGGGGTGGTAACGGGGTTGTTAGTTTCTAGTCAACTGTATTAGAACGCTATTACTAAGAGCGTCTATTTTCTTCACACATAAATTGTTACTTTTGCAGGTTTTAGATTTCCTTTCTTCCTACATAGCTTCTCTATAGGCACCAAAATAAGTAGATGGCAGTAATTATTTTATCAGGTGAGTTACATATTACATTGAAACAGTAAAGTATCTCCTTTAGCTCTGTAGAAAAGTAAAAATAGAGCATTCTTATATAACCTTAGGTTAGGCTATTAGTTTACATGTGAAGATATGCCAACAGTTAAATGCAGGCTTTAATTTCAATTTACCCAGGCTCAGTAAATTAAAATTTTCATGTGAATGAAGCTTTGGGTTTTTTGTTTTGTTTTGTTTTGCTACTTTTTTTTTCAATTGTTAATGCTAAGAATTTGCGCATTTGTTATAAAACATTAGCTCCTAATGTTCAAGCTTTAAATATTTTTCTGTGCCATATTTTGCATGAAAAAATATGCAAAAGGTCACCTATCTTAGGGAAGTAGTATCAAAGTAGCCAGTGCTGTAGCCTGTTACATTTTTCTTAGAAAAACAGATTGTTATTATTATTGTAATTGAGTTTGCCAGAGAAATTGAAAATGGAACAAATTTCTGGAATGGAGGGATGGGAGGGATTAGTGAATGGCATGGAAAGGGTATGATTAGAAATGGATTGTTTATATACAATATTTCTACCTCTGTAATGAGGAATTTTAGAAATCTTCCACACTTAGGATCCCTGAAGAGGATTATGCTTATCAGGTAGAAGAGCGTTAAGTTCTTATCCCAGTTCTACCAATTATTTGCTCTGAGACCTTTAAAAAGTTACTTAACTTCTCTCAGCCTCACTTCTATCTATCACAGGGATAATGAAATTACACAGAATTAAGATTGTGCTTGTTACAGTACCTGGTACCCAGTATACCATAAGTCTTGTTATTATAGTCAGTTATCAATTAATGCAAGAGTAGCATATATTGAGAATGTTTGACAGTTTAAAAATAAAACAAATTTCAACTGTTTAGCACCTAATTTGGAAAAGACAATTAAGTCAGTAGGGCCTAATGGGACTATGCTTAATTTATAGTCTGACTTCGAAAATGTAAGCTGAAAATAAATGTAAAATATGTTTCCTTAGAGTTGTAAGAAGTTGGATATAGAAGGTCTTCCATGATTGGCTTTCTGCACAAATCTGACTCTACTTTTTATCCTATAATCATGGACTTGTTTATATGACCTTCTAAACCCATAACAAATCAACTGGCCAGTCTTCTCGGTAAGTACTTTTGTTTTCAACAGTACATAGAGGTTTACTTACCAATTTAAGTTGTCTAAGTAGCATATACTAGAATATTAATAATTCTAGTTTAATAATTCTGATCTCTACTTATGTATTGTTAGGAAATTTTCTTTCTACTTAGCAAGATTTGTATCAGTGTATGTCTTTACAGCTAATATTTCATTGAATAATCAGGGCATTGAACTTGGTGATGAAAACTTAAAGGAGCTTTTTTCCAAGCACTTCAATCATTTTAGTGTTTAAGAAATTATTTTTGGCTTTAATAATCTTAAGTAACCACTTTAAATATAACATTTTAAATATAAGTATTTGGTTGACTGTAAGTTTTAGAAATAATTAATTTTTAAATTATTTTTCAGTGTGGTAAACATTCCAGAGGTATAAGTTAAATAACTTTAATTGGTACATGGATATGTGTCTTTAAAAATTTTTAGTAGTTCTTCATTTATTTCAGTAGATTTCCATGACTCAACTATGATAAAGTTTTCTTTTTCAATAAATCTGAATAAAGTACCAATTCTCATAAAGAGAAATATTAAGTAATAACTTTGTATAATATATACATGCTTGGCAATAATAAAATAGGTAATATGTAAAAGATGATATATTGGAATCACTGCAATTTTATAATAAATGACAGAAGCATAAAAGGTTTTGTTTTTCGTTTTTTAGGAAGTTACCTTGAATCTTCACAGTTCATGTGTATATTCCAGAGGAATAAAAAAAGAAGCAAGGCAGCCTCTAGTGGCTGTGTGCATATTACATGTACCATTGAAATGATGATCCTGAATAATTTAATCAGCAAACATTTGAGTCCTTACAAGTGCCTAGGACTGTTGTCAGTGCTGGAGAAGCCCTGTCTGGCTGTCATGGAATTTGGTTAAGTGATAGAGACAGACATTAACCGAGATTAGTCAAAAACACGGCTATGTAATTATAAACTGAAGTAAAGGTTTTGTTTTCTAATTTGGACTGCATAGTCCCTGAGGAATGATACTTGAAAGTGCAAGGAGATGTTACAAGACAATGCGATGAGAAGAGGGTGCAGGGTAGGTGGGAAGTACATGCTATGGTGAGGAATTGCACCCATTGAGGTCTTACAGCAGCAGGAAGTGTGAGATACTTAAAGAAATAAAAGGTGGTATGATTCAATGCCATAAAGCAAGGGGGAGTACTGTGAAACAATGCTAGAAAGGGAGACAGAGGTGGGTCCATGTAACACCTTGTTAGTCATAGAAAGGATTTTTGTCTTTATTAAGGTGGGAGAGAGGCACTGAAGGGTTTTATACAAGGGGTGAGATCTTCAGATTTGCAGTTTGAAAAAAGCAAAACAAAAAAGTAATATATGGCTACATAGCAAGAGCATAAGGTATAAAGGATGATGCCTAGTTCTCTGATGTGTATGCCTGGTGGAAGGTGGTGTCATTTCCTGCGATTTTGAACACTAGTGAGGAGGTTACAACCTCAACAAAGAGGGATCCATGAGTTTGTTTTTAAACAAACCCAGTTTTCATTTTTTTGAAGCATCCAAATGAATGTTTCATGCTTGGAGTTACATATATGGATTTGGAGCTATAATTTGCTGAGACTTTTGCACAGTCTAGATGTTTACAGTATTACTAATACTTTACATTTGTATAGTGCCATGTCTTACTTACCTCCCACAATACTGTCATGCAATAGGGCTGATGGTGTCTTTTTTTTTAATGGGTAAAGAAACTAAGACAGGGAGTGATTTGATTAAGATCCTGCTGTTATGATATAACAGAGCTAGATTTTTACATTGGCTGTCACAACTCAAAAAGGTCCAGTTCTCAAAATTTTTGTTTCACTACTTCAATAAGCTTTTGGTAGTGGAAAATTTTTTATTATCCTTTAACGCATAGACTTTGATACTTTATTCAGAAAGCTGTGTAATAGCAATGGGGAGAAAAAAGAACATAAGTTCAGGGAGTTATTTGTAAAAGCAAATGAAAGCGAGAAATGATACAGATGTTTGCTTATTTATAACTTGATAAGCAGAGTGTTAAGGTTTCCACGATAAAGAGATATTTAAGTCAATGTGAGCTTCTATACATCTAAATATACCATATATGCATTAGTTTGGAGTAATTTAAGATCTACCTGAAATGCATTAAGTACCTGAAAAGTAAGTTACTATGGACAACTAAATATGATACCTGAAAGACTGGGTTCTGGACTAGAAGATAGAGAAAGAGTAATAAATGAATAGAGTATTATGAGTAATTTTAGACCTCTAAATCTGACAATTTGGATAAAATGGACAAATGAAAAAATTCCTTAAAAGATACAACTACCAAAGCTAACTTAATAAGTGGTAAATAATGAGCATCTCTCTCTCTCTCTCCATATATATATATATATATGAAGTTAATATACAGATAAAAACCTTCCCATAAACAAAAGCCATGCCAGTGATTTCATTGGCAAATTCTGTTATACAATAAAGGAAGAAATAATACAGGTTCTATAGCAGCTTCTCCAAAAACTAGAAGAGGTATCAACACTTCCCAACTCATTGTCTGATACAAAAGCAGAGAAAGACATTCCAGAAAAGAAAATTATACTCTAATGTCTCTCATAAACATGCTGTAAAGTGTTAAATATTTCAGCAAATAACATCTAATATGTATAAATTAGAGTATATAGAAAGCATAAGACAATAATTAAGTGGGGTTTGTTGTGGGAATGCAAGGTTGGTTTAATATTTGATATTTAATCAGTGTGATTCACCACATTAAGAGACTAAAATAGAAAAACCAAATGATCATGACAATCTCAATAGATGCAACAAAAAGCATTTATGGTTCAATGTTCTCAGTAAAGGACTAAAAGGGAACTTCTTTAGCTTAATAAGTTAAAAAACCTGGAAATCTGACAGCTTTTACCCTGAGGTTGGAAACAAGGCAAGAATTTCTGTTGTTACCACTTCTATTTAACTTCGTACAGGAGATGCTAGATAGCACAATAAGCATGAGACAAAAATAAAGGAGATACAGGTTGACAAGGAAGAAGTTCTTTTTCACAGGTGACATAATTATGCAGGAAATCAAAAGCAACTATAACAATATATCAGTGTTGCAAGACACATGGTGAATGTATAGAAGTCTGGTGATTTAAGAGCTAATGAGAGGAGACTGAAATAAAAACACCATTTAATTTGCCATTTCTTTAATTCTTTTTTACTGTCAATTGAGCACCTATTCTCTGTCAGGTAGGACAGACAGCAGTAAACAAGATAATTATGTGTCCTTATGGGGTTTACATTCTAGTAGAAGAAAAGCACTAAGTTTTTTTGTAAATGCAGAATGATTGTTTAAATCAAGGAAAACAAGGGACTGGTCTAGTTCTGGGTGGTCAGAGAAACATTGAGGAAGTGACATTTGAGAATGTGTGTGAAAGATGAGCAGCAGCCTGCCAAGGGGAGGGCCACCTGAAGAGCCCAGAGATAGTTTGCTTCATGAGAGGTTCCGTGGGTGCAGGACCTTCAGTGCCCAAAGCAGGAAGGTCTCCTGCAAACCAGGAGTACACCAACTCCTCCACTTTTGCTCCTAAGTCCCATTGCTTCCTGCTTTCGCAAGGTTTTTTAACTCCTGCGGTTCCTCCAGCTTTCTGCTGCAGCACTAATTCCTTTCTGTATTCTAAATCATTCCTCAGCACCCTGATCTCCTAGTGTCTCTTAGCTAAGGAATACTCTCTGTTGGCCCTACATCAAGTTTCATTTTTCTTTTCCTCAGAGTTAACATTCTCCCTGTCCTTATTCCACTATCTTTTCCTCCTTGGCCTCCCATTCACTTTTTAAACAAGCACATTAAGGAACTTAGCCCTCACTACTGTGCTGAAATTTCTCAGTAGGGTTAACAAGAGCTTCAAGTGGCAAATCTCTGCTGCCCTGCTCTTACTCCAACTCCAGTGTTGACCACACGTTCCTGTCTTGAAACATTGATACTAATAATTTCTCCATTTGAAATCTCATCATTTAGAATATTCTGCTCAATGTCTCCTTTTTAATCCATTAGATTTAGTTTGTTATGCTGTGCCTATACAAAGTAATAGCTTTTTACTTAGGAGGGCTTGAGATAAGAAAAATATATAATGCAAGTGTTTAATTTATTATTAGGAGGGTCAGTATTCAGTTGAAAAATTGTTCCCATATACAGTATATCAAAAGCTTTAAAAGTTAACATAAGAATTACATGTAAATTTAGATTAATCACATTGACACATTTAATAGAGAAAATTAGAAAAAATGCCAGTGCTTCGCAGCAGGGGGTGATCAGGAAAATTAAAGTGCACCCATAAAACAGACTGTGGTAAATGTACAGGGGGTTTTTTTTATAACAAAAATGTAAAAGTATAATTTTAAAAAATTATAAAATTGGCAAGCCTTTATAAAAAATGTAGATAGAATTAAAATTCTAAAAATTTCTTTAGGAGGCAGAATTGTAGGCAGTTATCTTTATTTTCCAAATTTACCACAATTATTATGTCTTATTTTTATATTCAGGATACCATTATTGAGATGGTGCTCATTGTGTAGGTGAAGCTCACATATATTTGAAAAAGTAGAATATTGACTTCAAGAGTTTTGCCTTAGACTGCAGAATGGTATCAGCTCACTAAGGGATTTTTATGCTTGTGGAATATCTTTAGTTGACTCTTAATTCTCTCAGGAAAAAAGTAACCATAATTTGACCATTTGCTCTATTTTCTTTTCTTTTTTTGATGTGCTTGCTTGACTTTGATAAGGTTTCTTTTCCCAATGTTTCAGTTCTTTGAAGAGTATTTTGCCACCCTTTTCTTCCATGATGCAATTCAGGCCAGGAAGAATAAGCGGCATCTGTAATTAAGATTACATCATCTTTGGTGTTTTCAGCCAAGGGTCACTATATGTCACTAATGCCAGTTAGAGTACTTTGTTGTTGTTTTCATCCACAGAGAGATTCACCAACAAAAGCAAATTACAGGCAGGTTTGAAAAGCACTGCATGGGCAGTTTGATCTTGGCAATTAATGGCAAACTGCCTTACAGTATTATTTAAATGTTTCACATCGCTTAGTTTTCCTTCCCTAAGTATTTGTGAACTCATCAGATCCCTGACTATGCCTCCTTAGTGTCCATATTTTCTGTTAAATACAGAATTTGATTTGATTGAACCCTAATTCATTTAATTCTACTATAGTTTGATCCTGTTAGTTTTTATGAACTTAGTATGCAGTTAAATTTATTATAGTTTATTGGTGCTAATTGTTTTATTATACTTGAACTTTTTGCTTGAGTGTACTTTATCATGTATGTATTTCAGGATTATCTCCTTAATAAGTAGTGTTTATTGTACCACCATAAATGAAAGTGAAGTTGTGAGTTATGTAGTATTTTAAAATACATGTTCAATCTCCACCCAGTCATCAAAGTCTGTGAAAATACACAATTGCATAAAGGTTAGTCAAATTCACTTTTGTTCCCTCTTTTAGTTTTTCTCGAAGATTAATTAGTTACACTGGATATGCTGCTCTTCTTTATTTTGGGTGTGCTGGTGCATTGTGTGTTCTTTGCCTCCATCTTTGACATTTATTTCACGTCGCCTTTGGTCCATGGGATGACTCCTCGGTTCACCGCATTGCCTCCTCCAGCAAGAAGGTTGGTGCTATTTGTTGCTGATGGCTTGCGAGCAGATGCACTTTACGAATTAGAAGAAAATGGAAATACAAGAGCGCCTTTTATTAGGTGAGCATGTCAACTGGTACAAAGACATCTCTGGAAAATGTTCTCCTGATACTGTTTCTGTCATATAGGGTAGAGGAGTGATGATGAGAAAGAGAATAGGCATATATGCATTTGCCTCTGTCTTATGGATTAGCACATCTATTTCCTCCTAAGAGTTATTTCTCTTATTATGCAAATGGATATCATGGATATTATGCAAATGGATACTTATTATGTATGTATTTTACCAAAATTGGTTTTATTATGATGTAAGTCAGTATTAGAAGTATTTAGACCAGTACTTACAGATGTTTTTATACAGAACATTTGGAGAGTCAAGCATTTACCTTGAAAGATACCAAAGCAGTCAATATTTTTTAACTTGCTGATCTGCTTGCTTTTCACCACAATAGCATTATTGATGGTTTTGTCTTCTTTCTAAAGCTTTGCAAATCACTGTTTCAACTTTAAGAATATTGATATATTTTAGTGAAAGAAACTTCTTGTGTTTTAATCTCAATTTAAGAATATAATTTTACTCCTATTTAACAGTATAGCCATTTCACTTCAGTTTTTGAGAATTTTTCAACTACAGAGAAGTTGAAATATTATGTAACGAACATCTGTATACTCTTAACGTAGGTTTAACAATTACTGACTTTTTTTTGTATTTGCATTCTCTCTCTCTGCACATACACACACGTGCCTAAACTTTTAATTATCTTTTCCTGAATAATTTGAAAGCAAAATAGTAGGACACTTCACCCCTAAACACTTAAGCATGTATCTCCTACGAACAAGGACTTTCTCCTACATAACCACAGTACCATCATCACACCTAATAAAATTTAATATTGATAAAATAATGTTGTGTATATTAGTTATTTTTTATGTAAAAACCGTCTCAATATTTTGGGGCTTAAAACAACAGTGGTGCATTTTTTTCATCATGATTCTGTGCAGTGGGTGGGTGGTTCTTTGTCACCTACCCTGGGCTCACTTACGCTACTGAATCCAAACTGGTAGGAGGGCTAGGACTGGACTCAGCTAGGAGAAAGGTTCTTAAATTTTTGACTCACTTTTTTGGTGTTGATTCCTTCCATAATAATCTTGTTTTTCTAAAGCCTTAGCAGAGCATTTAATCTGAGTCTGTGGTAACTATTCATCTGTAATATCTTTAAGGAATATCATAATGCAGGAAGGCAGCTGGGGGATATCTCATACACGTGTGCCAACTGAATCTCGGCCAGGTCATGTAGCCCTCATAGCTGGGTTTTATGAAGATGTCAGTGCAGTTGCCAAAGGTATCGTCTATTTAGATTTTATCTCATGCATAATTTATTGTATAAGCATTTCTTCTTTAACACTGAATCATGACACAAAGTGAAGTGTGATTCGAGATACTTTTGACAAGTGTTTTAGAATGCCTTACTCAAATAAACACACACTGGTATTGATTCAAGAATTAAGCTGTAGTTTTTCTCCTGTGCTATTAAAAGAATATGATTGGATAGATCCATGGTTATTCTAGATGTTAATTCTCAAAAGCTTAAACGTGATTCTGTATTTTAGTAAAAAGTAAATTATCTATTGTAAGCTTTTAAAAAAATTTGTGGTGTCATACATGTAACATAAAATCTATTACTAGTTTTACATTTGTTCTTCAGTCAATCCTCATTGTTATTACTTGAACAATATTTTTTTTAGGCGTTATGCTGGTACTTCACCATGTATGTACTACTATTGTTACTGTTTGCTCTTTTTCTCAATTACCTGAAGGATGGAAAGAAAATCCTGTAGAATTTGATTCTCTTTTTAATGAAAGCAAGTACACGTGGAGCTGGGGAAGTCCAGATATCTTGACTATGTTTGCCAAAGGTAAGAGTCATTGATTATATTTCCTCAGATAGTAAATAGGCAATTAATCAATATGGTAATTTTTAGTATATTACATACTATATTTTATTGATTTTGAGATACATGTTTTTACATTTTTAACATCTCTGAAATAGGAATGTGTATTACAGTGGATAGACATGTCAGTTTTTCTCCTTTTAGCTGTACTTGAATTAGAACATCATACAGTTATTAGCATATTGGATTCTCTAAAGTGGTATATGGCCCTAATATTTAAAAGCTTTATAATCTTGGGCAAGTTACATAAGTTCTCTGAACTTTAGTTTCTTTTTGGAAAATGTGATGTAATTTCTATCTCATAGGTTGGTTTTTAGGATTAAATTGGATAATTTGTGTGAAACATTTAGCAAACTGCTTATCATGTAACTCCATTATGATGATGCTGATATCTGATTAATTACTTTGATAAATTATTAAGAAGTTAGTAGATACATAAAGATTTAAATGTTAAAATTTATAATTTCTGTAATTTCATATATTCGATATCATGCCGTTTGGGGCTTGTGTTTGTGCATGAATCTGCAAGTATTAGAACAGCTCTTGATTAGAAAATTTATTTGTATTATTTTCTAAAATCAGCTAGATTCTTTTTGAATTTTATGTCATTAAATGCATTTTAGGGGGAGCAAAATGATTGGTCATTTCACTAAATGAAAAAGGTTTTACATATACTTCGCTATGGGTGTAATTATAATAATTAGAATTATTGATGATTATTATATGTCCTAAAAGGAAAGTATACATTTAGAATCTTACGTATGACACTCAAAGAACATTATTATTTGGGGCAGCCCCCAAACCTCAAACTACTTGCCATTTACATACTCCCTTGTTTAAAAGCAGTTTTGGGGGACTGGTGGTGGGGAGGGTGGATGAAGTTGCAGTGGCTTACCAAACTGAACTTTCCTACTTCTGGTTATGGCTGATAGGTCAGGGCCAAGGTCTGAACTGGAGACAGTTCAATAGGAATGTTCCATTTCTTATAGTAACCATCAAACCCATTCTGATCTTTATTTAGGATGTGGGAAGTCCGATGGCTGAGCAGTGGAATAGTGTCATGGGACCTGAACTGATACTAAATGGGGTTGTCATTACTTTGTTACATGTCTTCCTTATGACCTGTAAGAGTGCATCCAACTCAGAAAATTGCTAAGTTGATTAGATTCTTAATAGAATCTTGCAAACATTTAAGACTGATATATTTATTGATCCCTTCAAGAGTAGAGTTTGGCAATAAGCAACATTCCCTTATATTGAGAAAAATACACATATTCTCTGAATAAGAGAAGTGAAATACTTGAATTTTCTTCTTGCTTTAGGAAGTTTTGTAAACCAAATGACTTCATCTGTTTTAGATTGTAATATCCTAAGACACATAAATTTTTTTAATGGTTTAGTCCTTACAGGGAGACAAACTTTGGTGTTCATTTTTGTACTGTTGTGTATTACTGCGACTTGGACAAGTTAATTAACTTACATGTAGTGTATCTGTAAAATAAGGATATGTTATTGTGTGAACAAAATCAATGCCAAGCACAAAGCATGGTCCACAGCACATAAAATAAATGTTAATTATTCCCATCTTTCTCTTCCCCATGATACAATGTGCTCTGTGAAAAATTCTGGTTATTCACAAAGATCGTTAAAGGAATATTTCATATTTTATGACAGTTTAAAGGATTGTTAACAATTTTTTTCCCCAAATTTCATCTTCAGGTGCTAGTGGAAACCATGTTTTTACATATAGTTATGATGCCATCAATGAGGATTTTGGTGCTGATGATGTAACAAAATTGGATACCTGGGTTTTTGATAATATTAAGGTGCGTGCTGTTGAGTGGTTAATCTACAGCATACTTATTTGTACCTAAATTACTAGACACTGATTTGTTAGTAAATGCATCTTAGTGTTTTGCTACTTGAATGAACTTGAAAGCACAGTATTTTTAAGAAGAATGGATTCTGGAAAATTACATGTTCTATAATAACCAATTGATGCAAGTGTTTAATAAATGATTTTAAGAAGGTAACATTTTAAAATTCCATGTTTCTGACAGCAAAATGAGCCCTAGGTTGAAATATCATTCCTAGTTTGTTGAATCATCCTGGGTAAAGCTTCTTGATGTTTTGTTGACCAACCAGTCCCTTAACAGTGGAGGGAGCACTGAAATGTAAGAAAGGTGAAAAATGCTGTTCAGATGTGATGCATATCATAGGTGATGTTTTTTTTTTAATTTCTACTTTAAAGAAAATGAAATATATGAAAACAGATGAGTAAATGAGTCATAATAAAATACCTATGAGTTTCTTTAAGAAGTAGGGTTTCTTAGATTATATGACAGTGACAATTATCACAGTTTTACCAGGAATCCAGTAGAATTTATGTTTTCAAAAAATGTGTGAAAACTCAATTGTGGATATTGTTTCTATCCTTTCCATATATTGTTTTTTATCTCCGAATTACAACTCATAATTCATCCAGTGTAGGAAGCATTCATTGACTGACCCTTAATGATTCTTCTTTTCATCAAATGTCTTTTGAACTGACATTGTAGACTTCTCCATGATATAGTGTTTTTTGTTACATTGTTTTTATAAATGTATTCCTATACGTCTGCCTTTTCCTTTGTATTTACTTAGTAGGAATTAGGTACTCAGTACATTCTTTGATAAATTGTATTTATCAGGACTTTTCTCCTTGAAATTTTCATTTTTAATTTAACATTTACTTTGTCAACAGGGAAAACTTTCCAGTTAAATACAACCTCTTTAAGAAAATAATTAGCAAATTACTTTGCTAGTCATCACTTTTAAAGTAATCTGTGCTAACATCTGCTTAAAGGCCCTTGGCCTCTAATTTCATATACGTAGCTAAAAATGCTCCAGAATCATAGATTCTTGTGGATGGGCAGATACAGCTGGTGGTTGGCCTGATTGTATGCCTTCTTCCTTTCCTTATTTCAACACTGTTAGTGTTGGTGATATGATAGTGAGCAGAAAAAAGGTGTGCCCGTGACTTCATAAAATAAGTATATATAAATTCATAAAGTAAGATAATAGGAAAACTGTGAAATCATCAACAGTGATAAGTGATATGAAGGACAAAAAACAGGGACTAAGAATATATCTTTTGAAAATTGTGATCTAAACCGAACAGATAGGGAAGACTCCTGAGGTTTTTGAGATGATCTCTGATGAAGCCTAGGAGACAAATTAGTGGATCTGGATTGCATGTGGAGAAGAGTATTTCAGGCCAACAGCATTAACTAAATTATGGATCCTGAAGGAAGAGCCAGAAAAATGGATTTGAGGAACAGAAAGAAAGGGAGGTTAGCATGGCTGGAACGCTGATGGGAGCAAGTTCTGAGGTAAGGCTAGAAAGGGAGTCCGACGTCTTACCTGGACTCATGCTTAATTCAAGCCACACACTTTACAAGTCCATGCAAATCTCTACTCACTTCTTTTTTTAAACT